GGACTGGCTGTTCTGGAAAATCCACACACACACAAAAACACACACACACACACACACACACACACACACACACACACGCACACACAAAACCCACACTTGTGTTTTCTGAAATTCAACCACGCCACACCAATCAAGCTGCCGCTTGCCTAAATGTTTTTTACGAGAAATACATTAGCACACCAACATCTCCATCCTCTTCCTTCCAAGGACGTCTGGGAGAGTGTGTGTACGTGCTCGCCGCACAGGGCTGCATTCTTTTATAGCGCGTGGAGCATTCCTCAGCTCTGAGAATCCTCCTCAGCTTTGGTATTTCAAAACAAAAACCAAAGTTATTACAACCAATGTCCCATTAGTGACAAATAAATCACAAAATACATTTAAATATACCACTTGCTTTCCACAAGGGTTTTGCCAATAATAAAAAAAACACATCGGCACGAACGTCCTTTGAAAGCAATCTTACAGCAACAAAGTCTCTGCTGTTTGAGCGTTTGACTGTGCTATGTTTCTAGGCAAAAATCTGAGAGTAGAAAGGATAAATAAGCAGCAGAGTTCACAACACGGTTTGTCTTTCCTCTACACTGTAGTTTTAACCCAGCTGAACTTACGCACTTTGATGGTTTAACTTCATGTGGGCATTAACCACACGGTTCCTCGTCTCACGGTAAAACAAAAACACAAGTCCGTGCCTGAGTCTTGACCCACGGCTGTCAGGCAATTCAGGTATAAAACAAATAAAATGCCTTCGTTGAGTTAGCAGGTTACGATGAACAGATTTATGATTGATAGGATGCTTTGTTTATGCAATTATCTAAAATTATCCTCAAAGATATTACCACACACAGCAGTGCAATGTCTCATTATGGTTAACAGCAAGTGTTAAAATGTTTGCCCAACAACCACAAACGCCAAAATGAGCTCTCTTGATTTATATTTAGCGTACTTCATTTGTACTATTGTGCTATGGTTAGAAAGTGATGTCAAAATAGAGTTTGGTATTTCTCTCCCTTGGCCAGACAAGATTAGTCATCCAACAACCAGTCCCTGCATGTTTAAGGGATCCCTCCTCTGGTGTTTTATGTCTGCGTTTTGGCACTTTTTTTTCTTCCCTTTGAATTAAACTAAACTTGCACTGACATAACTGTAGCGTGACTTTGTGGCTGCTCATGGAGATAGCTTGAATAACTTTTCCAACTGCCTTGATGTTGAAGAAACAAGAAGAAAAAGACAAAAGTTAACTAAATGTATTTACTTCAACTTCAGATGACTTCTATGGAGCAGTATTTAAAATGATCATCATCCGCTTCAGAAACCAAAGAATGTCATATATTGCAGTTGTTAGCAATGATAATATGCAATGATAATTTATGCTACTTCAAAGCCACTGGTTAAAACCTTTACAAACTTCTGCCTTGGTGCCTTTTAAGAATCCGTCCACATCTAAAACAGATCTGTAAACCAGTGATTGAATTGTGTTACTAACCAAAATTGGGATCATTTCCTGGAATCTGTGGGCTGCCAATCATTGTTTTGTTTTTTATTTGAGGTAACCTCTACCATAGCCCCCGATTTATGTTTTCAACATTGGGCCAAGCAAATTTTCGTTGCTATGCTGAAATTTAAAACTCACTTTTTAAAAATTATCGTAAAAATAAACTACTATGAAGCAGCTATTTTGAAAAGGGACACTGAAAAACAAATCATGTTTATGGTTACAGATGTAAGATACATTAGGACGGTCAAATGCATCTACATTATTCTAAAATATAACTAAATCCTTTGTATTTAGCTAAGAATTAGAACACTGAAGACTAAAATGTAACTGAATCCCAGGCAAAAAAAAGAAAAAATTATTTATCCTTCTGACCTGACCTTTTACTGACCCGTTATTAGAGACAACACACTTTATTAAAACTGCTGAATATATTGCTCTTTTCCAGCATTTCCTGTCAATCCAATAATAAAAATCCTCACGCAGCATCCGAACGCTAATGTGTAAGAGCGCTGGGAAACTGCGAGGCCGTCGTGCTAATCCATATCCACATTCCCAAAGAGGATGTTTATTTAACCCTTTGTATCCCACTAACTCATAAAACTACCATAGAGTCACAGAAACAACTGAGAGGAAGCCACGCAGAAAGGAGGTGCATCGATAGCCATCTAAGAGAAAGCTTCCGTCATCAACTCTTAATAGAGAGAGCCCCTTGCTTTGCAACAACACAGACAGCCATCACTATGTTAAAAGGGGCACAATGCAAGAGCAGGCTAATAATATTGTGCAAGTGGGGAAAAAAAATCCAAATGTTACATTTCTCGTTACTTTAAGGAAAAGAGCCCAAAAAACCCCAAAACCCCGAAAGAGAAGCTGAATGGTTCCCATCATGAGCAAACTCGCCGTACCAAGAGTCAAGTTGAGAATGCTTTGGAGAACAGAAACTTAAAAAGGTCTTCTTCTTACTTTTTGGTGTTACAATGTTGACCACAGCAACACTTTAGACAGTGGGGCTTTCGCATGGGAATTTTCCAGTAGCAAATATCCAGTCAGTGTTTTCCTCAAGTTATATTTAACCTGGAGTATGAGGACTTCCATCACAGATTTACTGGCAATCAGACAGCCTTCATGGCGTCTTCTCCGATACCACATTTATCTAAACTTCAGCCTTCTCTAGAACAGCATTGCAAAACAAGAAAGGTCAAAGCTTAGGTGACTTTTACCCTAAAATCTCTACTACATAGATCAGATCTGAACTGAAAAGCATATAGTAGGAGAGATCTGAAGAAACAAGTTAAGTACTAGTAAAAATAATAATAATTGAAATCAATAACTGATCTATAAATCTGACATTATGAAACGCATGAAAATTAAGACAATGGCTAAAGAGAGGTGAGCCTTATGGAGTCCTGTCTGCCTTACCATCCACCTCCACTAATAAAATCTGTCTCTATTAATGTGGCTCTTATGACCTTGCCTAACCATCTGGCACTGGTCCCAGGGGTGACGACTGCATGACGCTGGCTTGCAGCCACTGACTTCTGGACACACTTCAAAAGCTGTAACAGTCATTTTGTTACTCTCTTTCTGACTGGGTGTCCGTCGCTCTGTCTAAGCTCATTCTCAGTTCATTTAGTGTCCTGTGCTCTGTCTCGGTACACGCCTTGTGTATTACTTTCACAATGCCTCTTAACAATATTGTCTAAGAGAAGAAAAGTTTGTCTTAATCCATTGCATCCTAGAAGGGTTGGTAAAGAAAAGACTGTTCTGGACTTGAACAGCACCCAAAACTAATTTTAGAAAAAGGCCTGCACTCAAACGCAAGGCAAGGTTAAATCCATATAGTGTGGGTTGATACTGCACATTTGAGAGCTCTTGATAAGGTGTTGTCTGACCTATATCCCCTCCTCCATGTATTTTTCTTCTTTTCTTCTATATTTTGCTGCCAAACTCTGCAGAGTGGCAGGACAGCTGCAGGCTCTCACATACTCCACTCCTCCTCTTCATTCCCCTCATCCTCCTTCCTTCTCATTCTTCCACTATTCATGTCGTTAGCCTCCTCCTGCACTGGGCTTCAGGCTCAGGTCCCACTCAGCACAACCCCCAACCCCTCCCCTGAGCCTTCACAGCTTCCTTTTCCCCTGTTTTAAGAACTCAGAAGCAGAGCTTCCCTTCAAAACTAACAAAAAAAATGCCCGAAAGGTAAGCACAGATCAAAGTCTGCAGCCAAAGAGACAGCACTTAATCTATAATAAGATGCAAAATGCATTTACAGTCTATCATGAAAGCGGTGACAACTGGATGTCTGAAATCATTAAATGCACAGCACAATAAATCAGCTGTGCCTTTCAATGCAAGCTGAGCCACATGGTCGCCTTGGAGCAAGAGGGGCCGCCTATTAAACTGGAAACGTGATGACAGAAAAACATGCGGAAAAATGGGGAGACAATCGGTACAAGGTCTAAAATAAGAAAGTCCAACGTGACAACAATGTGTGCAAAGTATGTGGATGGAGAGCTGAATCGTTGTTTTATCGGGCAATAACACTACTATGTCTGACTTTCTAGCAAACGTGGTGGAGAGCGGCAGCTAGCTTAGCAGAAAAACAGAATTGACCATTTGTTTTTGTGTGTGTTTGAGAATTTATTTGCCCAAGTTCTATTTACAGAGACTTACTGAATTCATCTTATACTTGCTCTTGCAAGCATGTGGACCCATTGGGTTGCATGCTGCACAAAGCTAGGCCCTCTACAGCAGCACCAGCAGCATTCCATCATAGATTTACTTGCAACTTGGCAACCAAAGAAGTGTCTTGGTATCCTACATCTCTCTGAAAAAGACTTGTAGTGGTGTTCAGGCACACTGGCCTCGGGGAAAGACTTGGACATTAACACAAATTCATCTTGTTTGTTCAGTCTCTGCTATTCTTTATCTGGCAGTTAGTAAAGAGCGTAAAAATAAAAAAAAAATCAAGCATGCAAGTTCAGAAGCGAGGCAAAGAAAATGCTGTGCATGAATAGCCGTTCACATGATTTCATTAGGCAAGGTAATTACATGGGTGAGTGTGTATTTACCATGTCGAGTTCCTGGGAGACTCGTCGTTTGCGTAGCTCCTCCATGCGGTCGTTGACGTCACTAAAGCAGGTATTGTAGTACTCAGAGTATTCCTGTGCAAGGTCATCTATGTTGCCCAGAGAACCATCCTGAGGAGAAGAAGAGGCATAGTTTTAGCCAGAATACTAAAACCACTAAAACCACTGATAATTTCGCTGACAATGCTCCCACTGGAAAAACTCTTTGCATGAATTATGAACACTCAACTGCTTTGTTTCGATTTACTTTCTGCACTTGGTCTTTCCTTTACACGCTTTCATATAACTGCACTTCACAATATTCCACCAGTACTGCAGGGAAAGGAAAAAGCCTAAACGAGTTAGCACACTGCGTGACATTCACATCACATCTTGGATAAGTAGAAACAATATTATTCTTTATATGCATTCTTCTTGGCGATGCCACTAATTTCAAAGTGTCAACTACCGTTCAAACTGACGCCACACAAACAAAAAAAAACCTAAAAATACCCCCGGTAAAAGGGCTTTAGGCCCATTTATTCATTCTTATCAGGTTCCATTCAGTGTCACTGGCAGGCCTTGGTTTGTTCCTGGGTTTTTGTCTTTATTTCAAGATGCCCTTTACCTCCTCAGACATTCACCAAGCTCCAACCCAAACACACTTTTTCCGGCAAGCTTCAGTTTACATTAGCACAGTTCCTGCCTTTGTGAGGAAGATCTGTTTAGGAATAATGGAGGAAGTTCTGCTCCAAACATTAAAGAGCTTACCAAAAAGAAAATAACACTATGAGGTAGTCGAGCACATTTTAAATTCAGGTTTTATTGAAATGCGTAGCTGAACATAAACTGTCAACATAAAGGGGCCGGTTATAAAGCAATCTATGAAGTTAATTAGGGTGACTTGTGTTTATGTCGGCCCACCTTTCAGATTTAGAATATCTTAATTATTTTCTCAAGGCTTAAAAAAAAAGAAAAAAAAAAGCACTTAAATATTAATTACTTTCTTGAATTAAGTCATTGATATTTCTTTGCAGGACATAAAGCAACTTTTGTATAACTTTTGTGGGAGAGAAGCTCATCTCCTGCGTCTTGCCTTGGTTAAAATCTAGGCCATTCTGGCAGCGATGGCCCACAGTTGAATATTCATCAGTGTTGATCTAATCTGTGCCAGGCAGACAGCTAGCATTGAGTCACTGTGCAGGGTCCAAACAGTCTCCCTCAGTCTCTGTCTTTCTCAACTGGACTCCCTATCTGGGTGCCAGGCCACAAATGAATGGATCACTGTGAGTAAGGTGTCACACGCACACCCGTGCATACACACACAGGTCTTCTTCAGACCTTGGTGTCTAGTCGGGGAGAACACACATTAGTATGCGCACACATTGCATGCTGGGGATTTCAAAAGCATCAGACCAAAACAAACTGAGTTAAGCCAATCACAAACACAGCTCGGTGAGACCGAGTTACGATTTATTAATTGTAAGATGAGAACATTACTGAAAATAAAACAACAAAAAAACCACACAATTGCTTCGTCTCAAATGCACACACAATTGCTTCGTCTCAAATGCACACACAATTGCTTCGTCTCAAATGCACACTTTGGCTTGCTGTGATCTGTCCTCCCAGTATCTTTTCTTGAGAAATCCTGTTTTGGCCAGACATGTGGTTTGAGCTGACTGAGAATCCCAGTGGAAACACTCCTCGAGCAGACACATGTTTTCGCCTTCATTCCTCACATTGACTGAAAGCGCACACTCATTAGAGAATCCCAAAATGTTACAATCAGACATCAAGACTGTGCACATATATTTGCAACATCCAAATAGAAAGACTAATGCCGTTTTAAAGTTGCACAAATCATTTTTTAGTCGACGACTCCAATTTTTTTTTTAAAACAGTGATGGATTTTTCTTTTTTTTATTCTTTTGTCTCCACTTGCAGTACTATCTCTCAGCTGTGGACAGGTAAAGCTGCATATATTTTGATGTTTTCAGATAGACTGCTAAAACAGCCCCCCCCCCAACCTCCGTGTGTGTGCAGAGATGACTGAGATTCCTCTGATTCACCAGTGGAATTACCTCATAGGCGCTCGACACAGCTGAACCTCGAGCCTTCACTTCCACCGTCACTTTGTACAGTGACACATTCACATGTTCTGTTGTATAATGACTCCAGATGCTTTTGGGTGAATCACAGCCTTAAGAAAAGGTAAACCAGCTGTTTTCTTATAATGACTGATTGGGTCATGTCATCGCACGAACAAGTGCTTTGTCCACATTTTAGAGTAAATCTGTCAAAGTGGAAGTGAAAATGTGGTAGTATTGTTTGGAAATTTGGCAGGAGGGTAGGCACTGATGCTGGAAAAGGGATAGTCTGTGGACTACAAACCAGGGCAGCTGTTTGGTGAGAAGAGAATAAAACAGCTGTAATCTGATAACAGAGATCCTTCATTTGGTAAGAGACTCTAACGCACAAGTCATTATGTAACCTAAAACAAAACAGGCTCTGTTGGCAATAAGTCTCAAAAGACCCTTACTGTAAAACTCTTACATTGAAGCCGCTTTACATGCACACATATAGAACTATAAACACATCTAGTTTCATGACTGTGTGCCGATGTACGTGATGTAACAGCTACTCCACCCTCGATGTGAAGGAGGCCAACTCCCCATTTAAACTTGAACAATAGCAACAATAGTCGTACCAAAAACTCCACCCAAGCAAGAATGGGTGAGGTCGCTTGTATGAAATCAGAGTAAAGAGTGTGCAAGTGTCACAAAAGCTCATCATTCCATTACGATGGGTACTTCTAATTTCAAGATGAAAAATTTCCGTTTTGTTTAAAAAAAAAAAAAAACTAACAAAATTAACAAATCACTCGTTTGTGTGAAGACCACTGCAAATTAATGGCTGACATGTTGCGCCACCATCAAATTAAAAGCTCTTATTAATGCTGAATGATGTGCGGTACATAAAGTTCCTTTACAATTGCTTCAAAAGAGATGATTTACATCTATGGCGGAAATAAAAATGAAGTCAATATGTCTTTCTACACAAATCATATATAATCTGCTTTATTTTAAATATTAAAAAGTAAAGATATACATGCATATGCTTTGTATGCAAAGGTTGCACAGAGAAGGGAAACAGCATAAAGGTTTAGTAGCCTCGGGTCAATTGGCCATGGAATTCCTTGCATTCTTACTGACACAGGGTTCCTCTACAGACATTCAGAAAGTCAATTTGGAGAAGCATCACTTTAATCATGAGGCATGTCTGTGCGCTAAACTTCAGCAGCTTCAATTTCAGGCTCTTTTTTTTTTTTAAATCATGAATTTATTGCCAAAAAAATAAAGTAATATAAGTACAAAATATATATATTGACATGCACCCCCACTGTTACTTGGTTTCATTTTCATAATGTAAGTGCTTTATACTCAAGTAACCAACATCGAGCACATATTAAATATAGTATTTTAAATTAAATATGATATAAATCTGGAGAGGAAATTCCCCAGGATTTAGCACTTTTGCTTGAGCGTTTCATATAACAGAATACATAAAGGGCTGATCAGTCCTTTCAAAAGAGGCAGTGCACTGTTGAAGTGACAGTTTCTTTAAGAGGGAAAAGTCAAAACTATGTGAAAGGCACCCAATGAAGGTAATTCACACAACTAGCATGCAAGGCACTGATAACTTGCAACCTTGGGAACATCTGCTCAAAAGCGCTTTCTTGGTATATCGGTGACATGAGAAGAATATCTGCTAAGGCTGGAGCTTCACTCAGTTTATCTTCTTCACATCATGTTACAGAATATCTAAACGAAAGCTTGCTTGTTTATTAGCTGAAGAAAAGCCAGTATAATACGTAAAAAAAAAATCAAATATTTTTGTTCCGTTTCAACCTTTAACGTCAAAATCCTCCATTTATCATACCGGTGTTTAGTTTTACATGGGCTGAATAGAAGTGTAGATGGTATTAACTATTGTTACAATCACGCCCTTGTGACTACCCATTTTGTGTGTTTGAGAACAATGACAATGGATGACAAAAGAGCCGTCTGATGTAATGCTAGAAGGTTAGCAGCGTGATCACTTTCACTTGCTAAGCAAACTCAGGACAGGACTGGCAGACTGAAACTGCTGCCAGCTGGGTTGCATTGTGGTGCACTGTACTAATGTTTTTATAAGTGAATCTCTTGAGTCACCAACACTAACAATACATCACCTCTCCAATAGTCCAAACATCATAAGATAAATTAGCCAGTTGTTACTACATCCATCAATCTACTTAGTTCCTCAAACGCCTCCATAAACTAATCCCGCCCTGCTTCTCTGGATTAATACCATTCTATTGGTAACAAATAACATGAAAGAGAACATGCCATCTGTTAACAGTATAACACAAAATATACATTTGACAAAAAGACTATTTGATAAAAACATCACTGGGTGTTGCATCAGCCGGCTGCAATTCTTAAAAATGTTAAAAGTGCTGCAGGTGAGCACGAAACAAATCCCCAAACCAGGAGACATCTGACTAAAAGTTGGCCTTCAGGCCAGTAGAGGAAGACTGTTAAGGAGGGTAAGGCCAGGGGCCACAACTCAGTCTTTTAGAGAGCTTCCTCAGGATATCCGTGGCTTGAGCAGAACAGTACTCTGCCATCGCAGCAGAGGAAACCTGCCAGATCTCCGAGTGACCTCAATAATGAGTCTGGTCAGGGAGGGGTAGCAAAGGAGAAGTGACCAGAGTTGGACTTGGCACCAATAGACTAAATCCAGCTATTATAGACTGTGTTGAGAACACTGTTGGCAAAGACAAACTGGCCCAGCTAACCATGCTTTAAGTGAAAGCAGACAACTGAAGGACATGCTGCCACTATGTATAAAATGCTATGTGGGAGGAAGCACCTAGGGGTCACATCATCTAGCCATATATTTCCCAGACACAATCAATAATCACGTCTCAAGAGCAGAATCACATTCTTAGGTTTAAAGATGGAGCACTGTCTCCTACATAATCAGTTTTCCAAATGGACAAACTACCACCCACACTGTGTAAAACACCACAAAACTCCTTTCAAAGACAACAAGGACTCCCTGCAGGCAAATAAAATATTACCACG